CGTTCTAAAGATATGAAGTTTAACTAGAAATTTCTAATTCAATCCAAAGATATAACATGCCTGAGAGAGGTTCCTCATATCCAATACAAACTTCCACACATCAACTGAAACCAATTCCTACAAAGGAGGTTAGATAGGACTGTCTTTATCTTCCTGATGAGGGCCAAGAGACCACTGTGTGAGGAGTTCTCGGCACACAGGGAATTTCAAAATGCCTTTACCCAATCTACGGAAGCTACATGCCACGTACAGGGAGGGACTATATCTACGTGGGGAGCAGGTAGAGGCACTGGGTGGGAACCACACTGTGCTGAGCAACAGGACAGACTGCAGATGCAAACATTTTCAAACCAAAGGTCAAATAATCTGGGCTCTGCGAACATGACACCCACCCACAGTGAGTGGTTCAGGACACCTTCACACACATCTTAGAGAGTGGAAGAATCCAGCAACCACGTTTCTCTGAGGAATCTCAAAAGAGAAGAAACAGCAGACATGAGAGTTTCTAAATCAGGCACAGTAGTGCGTGCACACTTGTGATTCCAGCCACTGTCTCGAAGGGAAAAAAACGCTGGTGCGGAGGTAGCTCAGTGGTAGAGCACCTCAGTTCAAACCCCAGCACAATAAATAAATACTAAAGAAAGGAGTCTCTATTACAGAGCATTGGGATTGCCATTCTTTTAGCAAAATGAAGGTGCTGGATGTTAAGAGGCATTTGGACTACTACCAAATGAATGCCAATTTTCAGGCAGAACTACAATGTTTTGAGGGAAAAAAAAAAGGATTTTATTAGACACTAATAGGATAAAGGGATCATTTGGCTCTATGGAAAAATTCATAAAAACTACTCAGAGCCCAAATGTGCAAAACTGACAATACTTTTTTGATATGGCTTAGAAAGCCAGCCTATTACCAAACTTTAGACTTGCAAAGCAAGAGAACTATGTATGTCCATGGGTGTGGAAGGGCTCCCCCTTTTCTCCTCCCCACCGTGAACACACTACCAAGGAATTGGTTAGTACTCATACAACTGTGTTTAACAGTGGATTCTCAGGTCAAACGAATTAACTCAAAACCAGCTTAGCTGCAGATTTGGGGTGGGGTGGGGTACCAGGGATCGAACTCAGGACCTTGCACTTGCAAGGCAGGCTTGGCACCACTGAACTAAATCCCCGGCCCAGCTGCAGATTTTAGATGGGAAGCAGAGAGGTACATAATACATAAAGACTTCCAGCACCATGAATAAAAACAACAAATATTTTTACATAAACCACATTCCATTCAGGATTGTGGATCCGTGTTTGTCAGCCTTCAAGATGATTAATTCATCTCAACTTGGTAGTGCAATTCTGCAAAGGTAAGCAGGACTTAGCTTTAAGAAAGCAAAAGATTCATACTGCATTGCATCAAAATCCAGAAATGCAGAGTAACACTGAGAAAACTTACTTCTGAATGCTTCCCAAACACTATCTTGCTGCTACTTACCTTTTAACCTGAAAAATTCAGATGAAAGGCATTTAAGTGCAACATACTGTTACTAAGATTCAAAACAGGAAAAGGTTATAATGTGGCCCATTTTAATAAATCTCATTTAAATAATTAGTCTGACTTATAAAAGGGCCTGTTTTGGATTTATCACCTATAATCACTAGAAATTTTCCAAAGTTTTTATTTCTCATTTTTGGATATCAAAATAATCATTTTAAGCATTTTTGGGGAAAAAGGTCCAATTTTAGTAAACACTCAAAAACTATAAATAAATATACAGAGCTTAGGGAAAAATAAAAACATAAGCTCCATTTCATTACAGGGACTGTGACAGAAGAAATAAATCAACCAAAGAGGAAACAAACTCAAGTTTATAGTATCTGTCAAATTTTAGAAACACTACTTATATTACATGTTTTCTGATTATAATCTATCCAAATATCTAGGATAATCTCTTTAGTCCTTGGTTCTAAAGAACCAAGCAGCCATCAAGGAAAAATCAGCAAACACTACATGCAAACACCAGGATGGCTGTAAGAAATTAATATATTCATGCCTTAAAGAGAAGGAGAGGAAAGGAGAAAAACAAGAAGCTTTGGGAATTTTTATTTTTTATTTTTTTTATTTTTTGGTACCGGGGATCGAACTCAGGACCTTGCACTTTCGAGGCAGGCAGCAGAACCACTGAGCTAAATCCCCGGCCCGCTTTGGGAATTTTAAATAGGCTTTTAGGCATGGAACACCAAAACCCCAAACAACCTCTAACCAATCTGTTTAACAGAAAGGTCATGCAGGCAGGGTTTCCCCCCCTCTTTGGATCATTCAACTTTTCTGACACAAACGTGTCTTCACTGCAAGCCAGGCAAAACCAAAAAAGCAACACATTATCTGCATGCTGGACAAATACCTGGACTCTGCGTTTACGAAACGATGACAACATGATGGAGGAATGTGGAGTCTAAAGAGGGAGGGGGGAGAGCAAGATAACAAGCGTCTAAGGGCAAAGGGAACAGAATTATTTCAAAATGAAGAAAAGAGATCTGTAAAAATATATGAATCACAGGTGAAAATCAAAACTGCTGGTTCCCAGTGTTTTCTCTTTGACAGGCCGTTCATACAGCACCTAAATCCCCCCCTGGGGATTTTCAATGTGGAAAGAGAACCAAGCTTCCCAAGCTTGACAGTTACTAGCATCCAAATGTGCTGCCTTAGCCAAGCAACACTAAATATACTCTGAAAACTGAATAACCATCCCTGCATTACACTCTAAAAACTTAAGAATCCCAGGGCTACCTGATTCCTAAATCTTCTCTCATTCAGTGAAAAGATAGTATGTCTTCATGAAATCAACAGAACGAGAAAGAACTTGAGTCACGAAGGAAGCTCCTACTTGGGCCTAGTTTGCTGGTGCACTTTCTTTACAAAATATACTTTCTGCTCAGAACTAGTAAAGAGGAATATGCAAAAGAGGTGGAAGGGAGATGACGGTTCACTGCACAGCTGCTTCAGTCCACTGGCCCCAAGTGATCAGCTATGCGGTCCTCTGCATTCCTGGAGTTAGCATCTGCCAGCAGGGTGGTGCATTCTTCCGCTGCAGAGCCACAGCGGACCCAGGCCATAACTAGCAGTGCTAACTAGCGGAGTTTTCCCATGGCCCACTGAGGACTGGTCACCAAGGCAGGCTGCCCTCAGATCCTCTGTCCTCTGTCAACAGTGACAGGAGGTGGGGGCTATTTCTGAGACTGACCTCTCAAGATCTGCAGTGTGGCCCCACCCTTTGGGATGAAGACAAGGAAGGCAAAAGAGAATTCCAACCCAGGGATCCGAAAGATGTACTTAAGACAGTTTTCCCACCTAAATCTCATCATCAAATTGCTTAAAAGGTTTACACTGGAGCCTGTGACATATCAGATTTCTCCAATTATTAGATTACTACAAATAAGACTGCCAAAACCAAAAACATCAGCAAGTAAATTACCAAGCTAATATTCTACCATAAGAATTGCTTCACCCTTGTCCAGTACAGGGCAAATCCTCTTTTCCATTCCGGCCACCTAGGTCCCTGGGTAACAGTTAACACACTTTGAGGGTCCCTTGGAGTAATTACTGGCCCAGTTACTAAAAACGGCTTATTGTTAATTTCCTGCAGAGCCTTTACTGCAGCACATTTTTCCCTCATAGCACATTTTTTAAACTTCGCCTTGAATTTGACCTTTCACAATCTAAGACATTAGCTGCAATGAAAGGGAAAATAAATGACGACTTTGAAGAGTGGGGACTTTGAGGAGTGGGAACCTTGGCTCCAGGCTTTATGCAGCTGAGTGTTCCAGCTGCTATTCTTAAGATTTGCTGTTCCTTGGCTGCAGGACACCCCCATCCTACCATCTTTGATACATTGGCTTACTTAAGTCCAATTGCTATGACGACGCAATTTCTCAACAATTACGAAAATACTTCATGTGGTCTCTTTTCTCCCCAGACAGCCATGATGGTAAGTTTCTTTAAAATACCATCATGAAGACAGAACAAAGGACCTAGATATTTTAGGATTAGATAAAAGAGATCTATCTGATAAGGTACGTACTGTAGCAGTTCAAAAATCGATTCATGCCTTTCATTTAAAACATATTTAACTCTTAATTTAAACAAGCCCCTTATTTAAAATATATTTTATCCCAGTACCTGAGACTTTTAAAAAACAACTGTCTTTGGGAAGCGTCTAATCAAATTCGCAGGGACAGTTTTCAAACAAAAGACTGCTCTATCATTCCATACTGGCATGGCCGTAGAATTTTGAACAAATAATATACAGCCCTCGACCTCCAAGACCCAGTCTGTCTGTCTGTCTGTCTGTCTCTCTCTCTCACACACACACACACACACACACTCACACAGACACACAAAGCACTGTATTAGGTTATTTGATTTGTGTCTCACAAGAAGCAAGCGCTGCGTCTACCTATTTTTCCAAGCAGGTCACAACTCGGGAAGAAAGAAATGTTTATTACAAAGAAAGGAAAGGAGACTCCGATCCCAGACCCTTCTGCAGTTAAGAGAGGGCCAAGGGTCGCCATCTAGGATGAAATTAAGGTCAAGGAGCGCTGGACTCCAAGCACTGGCGCTTCCTCCCCACCGAGGCAGGGACTGTAGGGACGCGGTGGCCGGGGAGCGCTCAGCGGAGCTGGGACAGCAGGATCCGGACGGGAACACCCCACCTGCCGCGGCCGGATGGGGCAGGGCGGGGCCGTGGCCGGTCGGCCGGGGGTGGCGGGCAGCGAGAGACCATGGCCTCGTCCCCTCCCCCCGGCGGCGACAAACCAGCGCCGGCACCTGGGCCCGGGCCAGCAGCCCACGCGACACAAAGGCGGCGGTGGCTGAGAAATGGACCGGTCGCAGGAGCAGCAAGGCCCGCGCGGCTCACCTGTCCGCGGGCCGGCCACGCCCCACCTGGGGTCTACCCGGCTCCCACCCCGAGCTCGCCTGCTGCCCCCTTCACCCGCCGCCCCCCTCACCGGCTCCTGGACGGCGAAGGCCGTGGGTGCGTCGGATTGAGGAGTGCTGAGGGGGTGAAGGTCCGACGCGACTCCGCAGCCTCCGCCCCGCGCCGTTTGCTCCACAGCGAGTTTTGACGACGACGCGCCCGCCCCGCCTCTTTTATAGGCGGTCCTGCGCGCTCCCGTGGCTGGCGGGCGCGACCGTGGGGGAAAGCGTCAGGGCGAGGCGCGAGGCGAGGGAGCGCGCTGGCGGAGAGGAGGGGGCGGAGCTTCCGCGGGCTCGCCGAGGGACGGTCCGACGGAAAGGGCCGAGCGGTCCCGGAAGCAGCCGAAGCGGCGGTGCTGGGGGGGGGGGTAGAAGGAAATAGGGCGCGCGCAAGGGGCGGGAGGGGATGGTGCAGTGGAGTCGCGCCCTCCGCCCTGGCGTCGCGCCCTCCGCCCTGGCGGTGCACCTCCCTCCCTGCAATTTGGGCCCTCCAATCCCGCCCTTCCCCTCCCGCCCAGCAGAATCTGCACCGCACCCCTCCGCCCTCGCCAGCCCTTCCAGGACTGCGGCAGAGGGCGGGGCAGGGGCCCTTGCTGCAGTCCGCCTGGGGATGCTGCGCGTCCGGGCCGGAAAAACGCCCAGTCTCTAGGGCTGAGATCACCCAAAGCCTGCTCTTCCTGCCCACCTTCCCTGGAGGAGGCTCGTGGCGTTGGGGACTTGGGTTAGCCAGCACGGCTGGGGTCCTGAAAACTAAGATGATTTGGGGCTCGCAGTTTGAGGAGGTGGTCAGAAAAAAAAGGTCAAATCTGGATCAGAAAAAATAAAAGCGACTAATTTGGGGCATAAATTTGCCGTTACAGAATTTGGAGAATTAATAATTTCTCATTCTGACAGCAGAAGGTTTCTCACTGGTCGCCAGTGGGATGGGACACATTAGTCATATTTCATAGACAATTTCTGAAGGTTCCTTTTCCCACAATTAATTGGACTTTGCGTGTGTGCCAGGCACCATGCCAAGCATTTCGAGTGTGTTGCCCCTTTGCAATCATTTTACCAGGTAGACATGATTTCCCCATTTTACGAATGAACACGCTCACATAGAAGCCAGGTCTCTTGCTTGGGGTTAGGTGGCCAGCAATCAAAGGCTAGGATTTGAATCCATGCAGTTACTACCTTCCAGTAGGAAAGGGAGGCATTGTGATGTGGGTGGGTGCTGGAGAAGAGAAAACCAAGATTCCTGCAATTTCTGTTCCTTACAGCTCTAGCAGCCCAGGGCCCTGCCTCTAAACCCTGTAACCAGAGGGCCCCCTCGTTAGCAAACCCTTTCCCTACCCCCATTTGGGCGACAGCTGGGCCGCAGCCATTGGGAGTAACACCCAGCTCATTCCTGTGCACTCAGGCAGAGTGGGAGCGCTGGCTCCCGAGGCTTCAGTCTGCTGGTTACCAAGCAGCCCTCCTCTTTAAATAAGTATAAAGGCACTAGGCATTGCACCAGTACTTGGGCCCAGGGCCAGCCCTGGGCTTCCGGGTCCTCTACAGTTTGGCTTCTTCTCCTGGGGCCTGGGATCTGCGACCTGATTTCTAAGCTGCCCTGGCTGTAGCCAAGATAGGAAACATTCCCCTATTACCTCTCCATTGGAGTGGAGAGAAAGAAAAGAAGGGGCCACACCTCGAGCAGTTTACAGAGAATGTAGAGGAAAAACGTAGGCGCTGAGAGGCATTTTCTGCAACCTTCTATGCAGAGAAAACAGGGCCGGGTGGTGGCTCCTCCCTGGGCTGTGCTGTTTCTGGAAACAGCTGATGGCGTCAGTGTCCTTTTTTCCAGCCAGTAGCAGCGAAATTGTTAATCAGATTTTCAGCCCTGGGTACAAAATGGCTCACACAATCCTAGGTCTCCAAAATTTCCTAGACCTTTGGCTTCAGCAAAGAATGGGTCTCAGGGCTGTGGGTTTTTCATTTCAGTCACCGTGGCCTAAGAGAGGGGTCTGTTTTGAATCAGAAATGAAAATCTTATTTGTTGATCCTTTCTGTGATCTGAGCCATGGCCAAGAAACTGAAGCCCCAGCTCTCTCCGCCTCCCACTCACCCACCCAGTTCTGTATTTGGAACTGGAAAGGAGACATTTGAAAAGCCATTCTTTGCTTGTTTCACTGTCAGTCTCCTTCCCTCCCACCAATTTCGGGAAATGCCTAAAACTCTAGTAGGTGTGAGGACCAGGAGAAGATAAAATAGATAATGGCCTTCTTTGTTTTCTAAGAGAAATTTAGGGGAAAAAAACCCAAAAAAGCACAGGACAGTGTGGTAGCTCAGGGAGCAGTCGAGAGCAGTACACAGTCGCCTGCCCTCCGCCAGGCAATGGGTCCAGCTAATTCTAAGCTGCTGCTTCTAGTTGCAGCAGTCCCTGGAAGCCTTGATACGTACTTCAAACTCAAGTATGTGTCTAGGTGGTCCAGGTATCTCCTAAAGTTCAGGAGACCAACCAGGGAATATCACTTGCCTGCTTTCTCTGGGAGAGGGCCCCTCACTCACATTCTTTGCAAAGTTCAAAAGTGGGCACTTGTGGCATTTTCCCTCCCTGTAAAGGAGCTGACTGGGAAGAGTCATTGCTGGTGAGGGGACTGTACCTCACTGCAGATGACATTCTGCAGTGTCAGAGCCGCCAAGCAAGAGCAGATCGTCTGAACACAGTGCCTGGATGAACCCAGAGGACATTGTATAAAGGGAAACAAGCCAGCTACAGAAAGATCAATACAGTTCCACTTAGGTGAGGTCCTTGCGATCATCAGAATCACAGCAATGAAGCAGAACAGTAGTTTCCAGGGTTAAGAGGAGGGAGGAATGGGAAATTATTGTTTCATAGGTCCAGTTTCCAACTGGGATAAGGAAATTCTGGAGATGGGTGGGAGTTATGGTTGTACAACTTTGTGAATGTACTTAACGCACAGAACTGTATGCTTAAAAATGGTTAAACTTTGCCTGGCGTGGTGACACACGGCTGTGATCCCTACACGGGGGTCGGGGGGGAGGCTGCGGCAGGAAGATCATCATGAGTTCAAGGCCAACCCGAACTGCATGGCAGGACCCTGTCTCAAAAAACCAATAAATAAATAAATATAAAAAGGTTAAACTTGATTCCATCTATAATTGGCTGCCATCCAAGGAGTTGCAGGAGCAGAAAGTTCTCAGGAATAGCTCTTTGAGCTGGCATGAGGTCACTCCAAATGGCTTTCTTCTGATACAGCCTCTAACAGAAGCAGGCTATTGGGAGGCCCTGGTATCAAAATTGTTTGCCTTTATACCAAGAAGGGCAGGAAAGCATCAAAATCTGCACGAGCTATGTGTCCAGGCTGCCTGTGAGGCCCTCCTGCTGTGAGACCAAAGGTTCTTATGGGATTGTCTAAAATGAGACATGTCAGCAGGGCCCTCAGTGGGTGTGTGAATGGGTAATGAGTCTGGGACAAGATTGGCGTGCCTTCCTTGTTAAGGGGCAGAACACACTGTGAAAGTGTTGAAGGCACAAGCACAAGAGTCAAGAAGCTAAATTTTACTTATTTATTTATTTATTTTTGATACCAGGGATCGAACTCAGGACCTTGCGCTTGTGAGGCAGGTGGCGGAACCCCTGAGCTAAATCCCCAGCCAAGCTGAATTTTAAAATGAGGCTTTTGGCCAGGAATGGTAGCACATGCTTGTAACCCCAGCACTCGGGAGGCTGAGGCAGGAGGATCATCACAAATTCAGGGCCAGCTTGGGCTACGTAGTGAGTTCAAGGCCAGCCTGAACTACATAGTGAGACTGTCTTGAAAAAAGAAAAAGAAAAACGACATTTGAGTAGAGACCCGATGGCTGCTGGGAGCATGGCATCTTCTGCCCGCCTTGATTAAAAGGACCTCAGGGTGAAAGCAAAGAGGAGCTCCTCTACCTCCTCTCATAACCCTAACCCAGCTCCAGCTGTTTCACCTTCGTGCCCTTGGGAGACTGCCGGCCTGTTTGGCTGGATCACTCCCCAGCCCTCCTACTCACCTTAAACACATGGTTAGAATTACTTTTACAAACCATGTCAAACCTTTCCCCAAAACTTTAGTATCTTCCGGCTGGGGATGTAGCTCAGTGGTTCCGCTACCTGCTCCGCAAGCGCAAGGACCCAAGTTCGATCCCTGGTACCAAAAAAAAAAAAAAAAAAGAAGAAGCCAAACATATAAGGGCCGGGGATTTAGCTCAGTGGTTTCGCCGCCTGCTGCGCAACTGCAAGGACCCGAGTTCGATCCCCGGCACCAAAAAAACCAAAACAAAACCCAAAAAACTTTAGTATCTTCCCACACTTCAAACTACTGAATAGCTGAAACTACTGCAACAGACATTCTAGAGTGTACAGTCTGGTTCCAACTTTCCTTTGCTTTGTTTTGTTTTTTGGAGACAGGGTCTTGCTATGTAGCTGAGGCTGGCCTCAAACTCACAGTGATCCCCCTGCCTCAAGCCTGAGGAGTGGCCATGCGCCCATACCCAGATGCATGTGGGGCTTTGCTCTAGGAGGCAGGACAAGATGTATAGCTCTGCATGTTAGGGGCTGGGTGCAGTGCTTGCCTGGCCTGAGAAAGCATGTTAGAAGCTGAGCACAGCCAGCATGGGGCGCAGTCCTACCATCCCAGCTACCCTGGAGTCTGAGGCTGGGGAGCACTTGAGCCCAGGGGTTCAACGCCAGGCTGGGCAACATAGTGAGATCCTGTCTCAAAAAACAAAGAATGGGGGCTGGGGATTTAGCTCAGTGGCTCCGGCACCTGCCATGCAAGTCCAAGGACCCAAGTTTGATTCCTGGTACCAAAATAAATAAATAAATAAATAAAAATAAAAACTCAAAAACCTAGAAGCAATCTAGTTACTGACTTAATTATGTTTTGTTTTCAGCACTGGGGATAGGATCAAAAGCAGGGCTGCTCTACCACTCCACCCTTCACCAGTCCTCTTTTATTATTTTAAGACAGAATCTAAGTTGCCTGGGTGAGACTTGAAAGTGTTTTCCTCCTGCCTCAGCATCTCTTGGTGCGGAAATCACATGCATGTACCACAGCACCTCGACTTTATGTTTTGTTTTTTGATACTGGGGATCGAACTCGGGACCTTGCGCTTATGAGGCAGGCGCTGGAACCACTGAGCTAAATCCCCAGCCCAGCACCTCAACTTT